TTTCTCAAAAATGCATTTTTTAAAAAATGTTCCTATAGATTGCTATAGATAGAAGATAGCTTAGAAAAAGTTTCAGCCAAATGTCCTATATTACTTAGCTTTCCTCTTTTGCATAGCTTTCAAATCTTGGTTCAAAAATTTCTGTTGGTGAAGTCCCAACACAATACCTACTGTGAGATAGTAAATCACATCATACAGTCAGAGGCAGACATTTCATCCAAGTGAATGAATGCATTTTCTTATACAAAAGTAAATGGACATATTTTAAGTGTGTGGTTAGAGAAGTTTTACAAATAGTTTCTTTCCAAAAAAGGGGATGATTAACAGCAATTATTTATGACTTAGACTTCTGAGCAAATATTCAAGTAAGTAGTCAGCCAATATCTTAATGTTCCTGAAAAAAGTACATTTTTTAAAGACTGAAAACAATCTTTAAAGTAAATCAATGCCTTTGTAAGGTGTTTCTGCTGCTTCAGGGAGTGGTAATGTTTCTATTGAGTCTTCCAACTAGACCTTATTCTGGTAAATGATAAATAAATTATGCAAAATATCATCCAAAGGGCAGAAATTGGGCTGTGTCCGTGTGATCCAGTAACCAGGGAATTGGGTTAGGGTTTTTCACTGCCTAACTCTCTCAAAAACAGTGTGACTCTGATCCCTGAATAGATTCACTTTTGCCAACTTGGATGCCCAAGAACAAAGAACAACATAATTCCTTCAATTGGTTGACAGAAGAATGTGGTGGTGGGGTGGGGGGAACCCCTGCATTGAGTCAGTGCTCTGCCTTGCCTATCCCCTGAAAGGATGATAAAAAGATGCACGTCAGCAATTTTGCAACAAGATGGTTTTTATTATACTGCCACCACTCCCAGCTGTTTGTTGCCATTAGGATGGGAGATTGGGTTAATTTAGGATGGGTGGCTTTCACTGCTTTCAGACTTTTGCAACTCTTCCTAAATGCAAGCAAGCCTAGACGTGTCGATTTCATGTGTGAAATTGACAATGATTCATTCTATTTCCTTTACTTTTCAGAAGGCGATCAGCCATTTGCAAAAGAACAATTACTTTTCCAGTGGAGTGGGTGGGTCCCCTGTGATTTGGGTCCCAAAATGAAGAGAGTAATGGATGCTTTCATTTCAGGAACTAAGTGGCAAGACCTCTCATCAGCTGGGAAGCCAGACTACCATGAAATTCAAGGTATCAAATTCTGCAAAAGAAAAGATTGACTTCACTGGGTTTTCAAATATATTGTGGACAAGCATGTAGCTTTTTGGCTATGTGAAAGCTACTTGAAATTGGGTTCAGTGAGGCCACCCATCAGGATAATGATGTTCTCCTCTTGGAGGTATTTGCATTATCTCAAAACGTTTGCTACAAGACTGGCAAATACAATTTAAATAAAAATGTTTAAGTAATGCTAATTGTTTTCAAAAACAATTTTTTAAAAAATCCTGGAGATAAAAACAGTAGACTTGCCCACCTCTTTCTGCAAAAGGGGTTTTAGCAAAAGCAATTCCAAGTTCCAAATCCATTAGTGACAGTAGCAATTTCCACATTCCGGCCACAATTGGAATAGCAAATATTATCTCAGAGAATAAAGAAGGAGCAGGGAGAGGAAGCATGAGACTTTGTAGAAAGTGATCTACAATGACTTGACATGGGGCAGTGGTTTTCATTCCACAAGAACAGGTACAGTCTAATTTTATTTCTTTGGCAGTTCATATGGACAGCTCATCCCAAATTAAATGCTTCAAATAAAATCTCTCTTCCCACACTGCATTTATTTTCCTAATAAGCTGTTGGTAAATGGGAGATATTTATTCTCTTCTTACATTAAGAAATTAAATAAGCAATATGGTGTTCTTTTACCATAGAACTGGAGGTATTTTAGAGTTGGAATTAGGGTCAAGGGTGATATTTTAAAGCAGCATCTCCCATTCCTACTTTAAAGTTTTCAAACTTCCTCAGAACAGTTTGAATATCCTCCTCTCAAAGGGACCATCTTATCAACAAACTTCAGAAGCATGGTTTTAAAGTGGAAGAAGGATACAAATGCATGCTGAAGTTGCATGCAGTTCTATAAATGACTCACTTGGCCTGTGGCTATGTATGTAATGCATAGGTGGATATAAACTTGAGAGTCTCTTTTTATACAGGCAGCATAATGGAGTAGATTTACAGCACCAAGAAACTGATGCGAAATAATATGAGATGTTTTGTATTTGGTGTCCTCAAATACTGTGTTAATAGTAGATCAATTTATCCAAGCCTCTAATCCAACTACCCACTGGTTGGGCAGATAAATATAATAACAGAGCAGTTATAAAATCACTTATGTACCTTTCTAATTATCTAAGCTTTTGCCTAAATCTAGTGGAATTGTTGGCAGCTACAGGTGCATTCTCCTTCCATTCTTATGTAGAAAATCCTAAGTCTTTTGATTTGACCATGAGAAATTAGCTTTTATGAAAATATATACAGTGGTGGTTCCGCCAGTTTGCACCTATTCGGGAGAACTGGTTGTTAACTTTCTAAATAGTTTGGAGAACAGGTTGTTGGAAAAAATCTTATCCCCCCCCCCCACACACACACTTTACAGGGCTAATCCTGTAAGGAAGAAAGAAGGAAACATCCTGATGTTGTTTCTAACCTAAGCTTTATTGCCCTATTTACAGAAACTGCCTCTCCAGTTAACTTTATTACATTGTAACAGCTAAGGTGAAGTGCCCATCGACCTGAGTGACGTTGAGTTGGCCACGCCCACCCAGTCACATGACCACCGAGCCATGTCTACCCAGCTGGTCATTAGGGCAGCTAAATTATTGCTAAATTATTTGAATCCCACCACTGATATATATGGATTTAAAAATGAATCAGTCTTCATAAAAATCTAAATGTTCTAGGGGAAACATTTTAGTATAATGTCATTAGTCTATGTAATCAACAGTTTATTAGCATACCATATTGCCATAATTTGGCATTATGTTAGAAAAACATGAGTTAGGGTCAGTCAGATATCTTACAAACTTAAAAAGCTCAAAAATAACAGATGAATATGTTATCAATGGTTTAGGTAAAAGAATTCCTGGGACTTTTATCAGGTTTGCAGATGACAGGTTGCAGTGGCTAATATCTTGGAAGAAAAAAAGAAGATTCAAATCTAGATTGGCTTAATCACTGGCATTTAAAAATATACCTATAAAATTCTGCCTTCTAGATATGAACAACTAAAACCCTAAGTATAGGTTGGGATGGGGGCTTTGCAATAGTGCATGTGAAAGAGATCTGGGTATTTTGATTAGCAAATTCAATATAAGCCAGCAGTATGATGCAGCTGCTAAGAAGACCATTGCTATTTTGAATAACATTACCAAGAGC